AAGCAATGACTATTAAAAAAATAACTGTGGGAGATGAACTTCTGACATGACAGCTGCAGGAGCTCTACAAAACAGCTCCCACACAAAATTGATATAAATTATTTTTAAAAACAATTTGAAGTCTTTGGAAACTGTCATAAGAACACAGAAAAAATAAAGAATCATTTATTTAAGAATGTCTACTATAAGTCAGTAAACAGCGAGTATCTGAACCAAAATCTCCTCCCTTCCTCCCCCTTTTCAGCTCTGCAGAGAGATAGAGACACCATTCCAGACTGGGATAGACAATAACACAGGTTCTCTCTCTCCACCAGCTCCCAGTCAGTGGACTATCTTCCAGGAGAGGCAGCATATCACCATTTCTCATCTTTGCCCAAGCTACCTGTCACTGAAGTTAAGTTGCAGTTGAGTCAGTATGGGAGGTGATGGCTCCCTTCTTCCACCTAGCACCACCTCATGAAACAGAGAGAGGCTCTAAATTGGGTATAAAAACACTGAGAATACTGGGGTTCTCATCGCCTTTACCCCAGGTCATGGCATGAGGATTAAACATCAGGAGCCTCAAGGTGAGGAGACCTAGAGTACCTGCTATTCCTCTATCAAGTTCTCAGCTCCTAAATCAGTGTATCACGGAGAAAAAAAGCAAACCATTGTCCCCTTCGTCAGGTTTGGAGGTGTGGTTCAGAGAATTTTTGCAAGGAGGAGGAGGAGTTGGTTGCAGAACAGAAAGCTCTGAATCTCCTCTCAAAGGAACTGACTTCACTTGCAAGAAAATGTGCACAAGTTCAACTGGGAAGAAATTCACAAATTCATTAGTTACAGGCCTAAACTATAAGCTAGCCAAAGAGCCTGAAAGAGTCAGATGGAAGAAGCCTGGGGTCAGAATAAATCTCAAACACTGACCTGGAGAACTAGCTCTTCGAGGAACCCAAATTTAAGTGGATCAGTCTGTGGAGCAATTTATGTCCTGGGACATTGGATTTTTTTTTTTTTTTTTTTTTTTTTTTGTGACCAGTAAGGGATTCGTAACCCTTGGCTTGGTGTTGCCTGCACTGCACTCAGCTAGTGAGAGCACTGGCCATCCCTACATAGGATCCGAACCCATGGCCTCAGCGCTCCTAGCGCCGCTGCACTCCCAGCACCTCACTCTCCCAAGTGAGCCACAGGGTCAGCCCCCAGGACATTGTTGAAAACAATAGATCAATCAGCTGAGTGTGGTCAAGGAAATAGACAGAGAGAGAGACCTGCCAAAACTGCTATGGGTACATTCAAGCTACACCTTCCAAGGACAAACATCAGAGTCTTCACACTGTAGAGGGTTGGGGAGTGAACTTCATTGAAATAATCCATCCAGTTGCTAAACAAACAAACAGGAAATAATTAAAACAAGCTTGGCTGGTGGGGAGGGGGAGGACCTGTACCCAGAGTTGCTACGATATATTATCTAAAATGTCCACTTCTCTTCCCATGTCTTGGGAGAGATGTGAACATTCAGATCCAGTAAGCTCAAAGGGCCCCAAATAGATTCAACCCCAAAAAGGTCCTCTCAGAGGCACATTACAGTCAAACTGTCAAAAGTCAAAGACAAAAACAGAATTCTAAAACCAGCAAGGGAAAAGCATCAAGAAACAAATGAGGGAATCCCTGCTAGACCAACAGTAGACTTCTCAGCTGAAATATTATAGGCCAGGAAAGAATGAAATGATATATTCAAAGTGCTGAATGAAAAAACTGCCAGACAAGAATATTATACCCATCAAAATTATCCTTCAGAAAAGAAATAAAGATTTAACCAGGTAAGCAAAAACTGAGGGAATTCATCACCACTAGACCAGAAACATGTTTAATATACAACTCACTGGTAAAACAGATACAGATAAACTAATTAGAAAGAGAAGGAAATCAAACCTTATCAGTACAGAAAACCAATAAACCAAAAAGATAAACAAGAGAGAAAGAAACAAAGAATATACCAAAAAGAAATTGTTTTTGTTAATGATAGGATTAAGTCCTCACCTATAAATAACAACATTGAATGTAAATGAATTAAATTTCCCAATTAAAAGAAAAATCAGTAGCATTCTTATACACCAACAACAAACAAGCAGAAAAAGAAATCAAATAGCAACCAAAAAAAGAAAATACCCAGGAATAAATTTAACCAGCCAGGTGAAAGATTTACACAGTGAAAACTACAAAATTCTACTGAAAGAGATTTAGAGGACACCAAAAGATGGAAAGACATTCCTTGTTCATGGACTGGAAGAATTAACATGGTGAAAATGTCCATGCTACCCAAAGTGATCTACAGATTCGATGCAATCCCCATCAAAATACCAATGACATTCTTCACAGAAATAGAAGAAACAATCCTAACATTCATACTGAACAACAAAAGACCCCCAATAGCCAAGGCAATCCTGAGGGAGAAAAAAAAAAAACGGAGACGTCCCACTACCTGACTTCAAATAATACTGCAATGCTACAGTAACCAAAACAGCATGATACTGGTATAAAAACAGATACATGGACCAATGGAACATAATAGAGAACTCAGAGATCAACCCAGGTACTTAGAGCCAACTGATCTTTGACAAAGGCACCAAGAACATACATTGGGGAAGATACAACCTCTTCAGTAAATGGTGCTGGGAAAACTGGTGCCTATGTAAGGAAGAATGAAACTAGACCCATTCCTCTTGCCATATGCCAAAATAACTCAAAATGAATTAAAGACTTAAGTATAAGACCTGAAACAATTTAACTCCCAGAAGAAAACATACGGGAAATACTTCAGAATGTAAGACTAGGCAAAGACTTTATGAATAAGACCCCCAAAGCACAAGCAACAACAGAAAAAATAAACAAATGGGTTATATAGAACTAAGAAGTTTCTGTACCACAAAGGAAACAATCAACAGAGTGAAAAAGCAACCGACTGAATGGGACAAAATATTTGTAAACTGTACATCTGACAAGGATTAATATCCAGAATACACAAGGAACTCAGGCAACTTCACAGTAAAAAAATATCCAATTAAAAAATGGGCAAAGGAGCTGAATAGACTGAAGAGACATTTTTCAAAAGAAGATGTACAACTGGCTAACAGGTACATGAAAAAATGCTCAACATCACTAATCATCAGAGAAATGCAAATCAAAACCACACTGAGATATCATCTCACCTCAGTTAGGCTATTATCAAAAAAGCTGAGAATAACAAATGCTAGCAAAGATGTGGAGAAAAGGGAACTCTTCTACTCTGTTGGTGGGACTATAAGTTAGCACAGCCATTATGGAAAGGAGCATGCAGGTTTCTCAAACAACTGTCAGTTAGGCTATTATCAAAAAAGCTGAGAATAACAAATGCTAGCAAAGATGTGGAGAAAAGGGAACTCTTCTACTCTGTTGGTGGGACTATAAGTTAGCACAGCCATTATGGAAAGGAGCATGCAGGTTTCTCAAACAACTGCAGATAGAACTGTCATATGATCCAGAAATCCCACTTCTGGGTATATACCCAGCGGAACGGAAATCATCATGTTTGTTGAAGGGATACCTGCATTCCCATGTTCATCAGAGCTCTATTCACAATAGCCAAGATACGGAACCAACCTAAATGTCCATCAATGGACAACTGGAATATTACTCAGCCATAAAAAAGAATGAAATTCTGCCATTTGCAGCAACATAGATAATCTTGGAGAAAATTACGTTAAGTGAAATAAGCCAGGCACAGAAAGAGAAATACCACATGTGCTCACTAATAAATGGGAGCAAAGAAACAAAGAAAGACTATAATAAAACACTGAACTTTCAGATAGAGAGCAGACCTATAGTTACTAGAGGTGGGAAAGGGGGAGAGGAAAAGGGAATAGGAAGTAATTGGGTAAAGGACACAAAAAGTAATTATGATTTGTAGTGATAAACATGCTAATAATATTGATTTGATCATCACATACCATACGCAAATACTGATAGTCAACTCTGTACCCTATAAATATGTATATAAAAAAATTTATTCTAAAATCAGGAGAAAAAAGTAATATAAAAATGTTTATTATTTTACATTAAAATTGTCCAATTGTGCCACAAAGTGTGTGTTTTAAATAAATTCAGTTAAATAAAAAATAAAGTAAATAAAAGACACAGATTGGTTGAAAGGACAAAAATATATGACCTAACTATAGGCTGCCTACAAGAAACTCATACCACCTACAAAGATCACGTAGACTAAAAGTGAAGAGATGGAAAAAGATATCCCACACAAATGAAAACCAAAAGTGAGTCATTTCCAGCTCTTAGAGGCTGCCTGCATTATTTGGCTTGTGGCTCCTTCCTCCATCTTCAAAGAAAATCACTCGACCTTTCCTTTTGTCACCTCATCTCCCTCTTCTGCCTTTGATCATCTTGTCTTCCTCTTATAAGGATCCTTGAGATTACATTAGGCCCACCCAGATAATTAAGAATAATCTCCCCATCCCAAGAGCCTTGACTGATTACATTTGCAAAGTCCCTTCTGCCATACAAGGTAACATATTTACAGGTTCAGAAGATTAGACATGAACATCTTGGGGGGCCCTTTTTCTGTGTATAACACCTAGGTACCACCAGTGATATGGAATTTGCAAGCAGTTTTTGTTCAGGCTCTTCTCCTGGACACTCCATATCATGATACTCAGAGTTTAAAAGCAGCACAAACTATAATATCATCGTCATAATTAGAAAACATGGTTTCTACATCTCCTGCTTTCCTTTATGGACTTAAATGTATCTGTGTACATGTCGGCATTCCCCTGGAGAAAAAGGACTATGCTCTGTTAACCACTCTATGCTCTCATCACTAACCATTCACAAAGTACTTTGTAAAATACAGGCAGGCAATAATTTCTTTTTTAATTAAAAGAGATTAAAAATAATAAAGTCCCTTCAAAACAAACCTGTTAAAAATATTTAAAAACATTAAGAAATATTAAAACACAACTAAATTCACTTCTTACCATATATAACATATTTCAGCTGAAGATTTTTAGTCGTTTCTTCCACAGTAGGTTTATACTCAAGGAAACATGTGTAAAGTCCACTCATAGACTCCTCGAAGTTCTGGAATACAAGGCTTCCTGTGGATGTTACCTGTGCAGTACTGTTTTCTAATGAAGGAGTAAGATATAGTTATTAAATGCTTAAATTAAATGAGACAGATTAAAAAATGAAAACATTTTCTAAGCAGAGTAAAACCAACAAAATTTACCAACGCAGGAGTTGGGGGCAGAGCTAGTCACTGCATGTGGTGCCTGCTAACAGTGGGTGCCAGCATGGCCTTCTTAGTGCCAGTCTTTCACTAACTAGAGTTCATCAATTGTGTGGCTGCCTAAGTGGTAAGAGAATAACAATGACATGTATATAATGTGCTCCTAATCCAATCTTTGCATTGACCTGCACACTATCAGAAATACAGCACAAACATATACAAATATGTACACATGCATATACACAATACATATGATGTTTATATGTACATATTTATGTATGTATTACATATATAAAAATATATATTCAAAATATATACATACATATATGAGGGTACATTGAAAACTTCATTGGAAGATTTGTATTATCTTTTATGTTTCCACAAACTTTTTGAAGTACCCTTATACATTATATAGCATATATATATATACATATATATATATATACACACACACACACTCATATACTATAAAACAATTACATATTTTTTAACGATGGCCTCAGTAAGCTTACAAACTGCATATTAAACAGATAAAACAGTATATTCAGAACAAAGGCTGTCAGAATATCATCACAAACAACTAGAAATTTCTTATCACTACACATGATATAAAGCAAAAGTTGGGTTATAACCTTGAGGGTTGAAGAAAAATAAAAAAGGAGATTAGATCACCTAACTTGCCCAAGGTCACACAACGATGGAGCTGCAAGGTTGGGAGTTAGAATAGAATGTAAGATCCCTCTGTACTTCAACATGGCTCATTACTAAAGTGTCACAATAGGAAATAGCTATGCTGTGAAATGTAAAGTAAATCTTCTTTAGAAGCATTAAGACCTGGGTCTGAGGACTACCTTTCTCTCTCACAACCTGTGTAAACTTGGGTAATCGCTTAATCTTTCTGAAGTCCAGCTCCTTCATTTGTACAATGAAATAATACGATAGCCTATCTCACAGGATTGTTTTATACAATAAATACAATGAATGTTAAAGTATTTGAAAAAGCTATAAATAATTAAGCAAATAGATATTGTTATTTTGAAAGTTCATAACCACAGCTTAGCATTAGAAAATTTAGATATTAAAATTTGCCTCGTTAATAATTTCATATTCCATTCATTAGAATTGAAAGTACTACCTCAGAAAATGATTGTCTACCTTTCTATATTTTAAGTGAGTTATTGCTTATAAATTTTAAGTTGAAGTATTTCTTCAGTATAAGACAATAGATGAGTGTTCTTAGTGATAAGTTTTCATTATTAATTTGTTCAATAAGCATTTATTGAGTTTCTGGTATATGCCAAGTCTTGCTTCAGATATTGAAGGAGAAATGAATAGGTGGATATACCCACCCTCGAGGAATTTACATAGAGCATTATGCCTTGAGAACTCCCATTTTTATATCCTGGATGAAGAGGGAAAATGTGATATAAATTTAGAATACATTTCTACTGTAATGTCTATTTCATCATGAATATCTTCTGATGAAAGATTACATATTTATCATCACATGCTGAGTCTTTTCTAAAACAGATTAACATTTTGCAAGTGTTTCCTATGTATTTCAGCACAAACATCTCAGAGTAATATGATAAAAGGTGAACATAAATACTAAATAAATCCTATCATCTCATCATCAATGAGACTACACATTCCTTCACAATAATTTGAAAAGAAAGTTTCTCACACCAGAAGTATCAATTAATAAGTATAAAAATATATATTAGAATGCCTACTACAATGTTAAACATTATGAGAGCCAGAAAATTGAATAGCACACAATCTATGATAAAATTCTCTCAGAATACCTTATGGTATAAAAAATAAAAGGTGGCACACTTTGAAAAGATATCCAGAGAATTTCTTACCCAATATAAAAATGCATTCTATAATATCACTTAACAGTGATCACTTAATAGATCCATAAGTGACTAAATCTAAATGGAAATTTTATGATGCCAAAGGCTATGTACTATAAGAACTCATGCAATAGCAGATATTCAATAAATAATTGTTTAATTAAAGTTGTTGCTTCTTCCTACCCTAGATCTTAGCTTAATTATCTAAAATTTCACAAAGTGGGACTAAATCTCTAGAAGCCCCTGCCTTAGAGCTCTAAAACTGTATGACAAAATGGAAAGTGAATATAAGAGCATCAATCCTACCATTACAATAAGGAAAAAGCTAGAAAAACTGCCAATTAACAACTTTTCTTGATGTATCAAGAAGCTGAGGTAGCAGTGCAACCAATAACCTGAAACTTGAGGACAAGCAGGGGCCTGCAGGAAGAACCAGGACCTGATGAGCATTTGCTTCAGCTGTCATATGAGCATGTAAGAAGATTCAGTTAAAAATATTTAATGAATTGTTAAAAGCCAAGTGCAGACTAATGTGAGCATGTGAAGCCTCTAGGGACCACAGATAAGTGGGGAGTTATGCCCTACCTTGTAAGGCCTCACAAGAAACCTCAGGGGAAACCTAAGCAAGCTTCCTGCAGGGTGCTGGCTAGAGGAGGAGCTCAGCAGCCCTGCTGAAACTCCATCCACACCCATTTCCCCTATACCTCCTGTGAGGAACAAACCTTTAATCTACAGGGAGAAAAGAAACAAAAACTGACACCTAGGGAACTGTGGAAACTTGTTACAGCTCCAGAAGAAAACAGGAACAAAAAAAAGTGTTTCATCCTTGGGGATGAGTCAGGAAAAAGTGCTATGCCAGAACTAAATCTGGAGGTTGGATAACTGTGAATAACCCCAGAACAGACCTAGGGATACTATGCCTGCCAAAGAACAAAGCTTAATCAGAATATCAGAGAATGGCCCTCTCTGTGAACTACCCACCAATAATAACAGTTTATTAAAAAATATCAGTGGAATAAAGCTGGCAGAGCTGCAAGAGAAAGATTGCCTGAAGAGTGGCACAAAAGGAGAAAACAAAGCCAGGGAAAAATTACACACTGGAAGAAAAATAAATTCTAATAAATCAAACCACACCTTAAACATCATAAGGATATGTGAAGCTTTCAGTGTGCTGAGTGTAACTACAGTGACAACCAACATCAAAGCCAGACAAGTCCTGACCACATTAACACAAACACCTAACACTAAATGCTTAGCAGGAAGCAAAAAGTGTTAATCTGAAAACATAAAAATATTTACACTTCAATACTCATATCTACTGTCCTATTCAAAATGTCCAACCTCAACAAAAAAATTAGAAGGCATACAAAAAGGCACATTCCCTAGATACCAAGCAATAATCAAGAGCAGACTCTTACATGTCAGATGTATCAGACAATTCATTTAAACTACTACAACTATGATTAATGTGATAAAGGATTTAATGGAAAACATAGACAACATGTGCAATCAGATAGATGGCTTCAGCAGAGAGATTGAAACTATAGAAATAATCAAATGGACATACTAGAACTAAAAACAAAACAAAAGAAATTTTAAAAATACCACACTAACACATATTAAGCATTCCTTCAATGGGCTCATAAATAGGCTTGACTCAGCCGAGGAAAAGATCAATGAACTTGAAAATAAGTCAAAAGTAATTCCCAACCTGAAACACAAAGAGAAGGAAACAAAAGAACAACAATGAAAAAAGAACCCAAGATCTGTGGGACAATATCAAACAGTGTTCTATAAGTATGATAGGAATCTTGGAAAGGACAGATAGAATGGGGCAGAGGAAATATTTGAAGCATAATAGCTAAGAATTTCTAAAAACTAATGACAGATAGCAAGCTATAGATCCAAGACACTTAGAGACCACCAAACAGAATACAAAAACCAATCAAACAAAAACAGCACACATAATATTCAAATAACTGAAAATGAAAACCAAAGAGAAAATCCTGAAGCCAGAAAAAAATGACACAGTGCTTACAGAAGGACAAAGATAATAAATGCAGATTTCTCACTAGCAATTAAGCAAGCCAAAAGAATACAGAGTGCCATCTTTAGAATGTCGAAAATAAAACCCTGTCAACCCAGAATTCTACAATAAGCAAAAGAAAAACATAAGCAAATTAAACTCACAGGAAACAAAAGAAAGGAAGAGAAAGGAAGTAATAAAAAATAAAAGCAGAAATAAATATCCTGAAAACAGAAAAATAATAGAGAAAAATAATAGAGAAAAATCAATGAAACCAAAAGATAGTCCTTTGAAAAGACTATAAGTGTTAAATACTTAGCCAGAGAGAACAGAGAAGACAATCAACATTAGCAGTGAATGAGGGCACATTGCTATAGATCCTAAATACATTTTGTAAATTATAAGAAAATATTAAACTATTTTATGCACATAAATTCAACATGTTGAAAAATCCACATGGGACAAATTCCTTGAACGACACAAACTACCAAAGCTCACAAACTGTTATAATCCTATTTCTTCTCTTAATGAGATTCTATCTACGAACTTCGGAGCCAGACTTCAATGACATATGACTCTGGGAAAGTATTTTATTCTCTCAGCGAATATTTTATTTTTTGTACCCTATATAAAATGGATAGAATGGTTGTACTTACTGCAAAGGGTTGTTGTGAAAATTAAATGATTACTTTGCATAAATTGCTTAGAACAATATCTGACACATGGTAAATATTATATGTTTATTATTATTTTAATAACATTCATTATGCTAACTGAAATTAGCCAGATACTGAAAGACAAACATGCATGAACTTTTATATGTGAAATCTAAAAAAGTCAAATTCATACAAATGAAGAATGGAATAGGGGCTGAAGGGTGGGAGGGAAATGGGGAGTTGTTGGTCCAAGGAAACAAACTTTGCTATAAGATGATAAGTTAGAAGATCATTAAGTTCTACAGACCTAATGTACAGCATGGTAACTACAGTTAACAATAATGCATTAAATACTTGAAATCTGCAGAGAGTAGATCTCAAGTGTCATCATACACACAAAAATGGTAGCTTTGTGGGGTGACTGATATGCTAATAGCATGATTTTGAAAATCATTTTACAACGAATACTTATATCAAAATATCATGTTATACACCTCAGTATATATCATTTTTATTTGTCAGTCATACCTCAATAAAGATGGGACAAAATTGAAGCGTGGAAAATAATTTACAACAGCAAAACTAAAATATACATTTTCAGAACACATACATAAATGTATATGTAAATGGTAAACATATAAAGAAGAGCAAAGGAATAATATAAAAGTTTAGGATAGTGTTGATCTAAGGAGGTTGGGGACAGAGGAATCAGATTTCTGAACAGTTTATTGGGAAGTCCAATAGTCTTGGTAATAGTATATATTAACGTGCACTGTAGGTTCAGGGATGTATGTTTTACTGTTTCATAACATGCATATATCTTATGTACATTTTATGTATTAGATGCTTCACAATAAAAACAATAAGTACAATACAATAAAATTTATGATTTTTTAAAATTTATATATTTTAAAAAACATAATGGGGGTGAGGTTACAGGGGAAAGCCCAACATATATGTGTTTATGAGCATGTACATATGTATGTGTGTGTGAACATTTAAAGAAGTGGCAAAGTCTACACACCAAAAAGAGTTAATTCATCAGAATAAAATTAGGGTTGGAATGGGAGGTGTGAAACTTACAATAAATGCATTACCTATATAAATAAAGAAATATCAAGCAAGAGACAGAGAAAGAGACAGACACCAAATCGAAGACTTGTCCCTTACACTTCACAATACATATAAACAATCTGAATAATTTTTCCAAAGAAATGTGCAAAATAGTTAAATAATCACACAATTTCTATGGCTCAATTTTAGGGAAACTGTCTTTGTAATAACCACAAAACCATCATTAAAGAACAGTGCTGTTTAAGCTAGAATCTGAAAAAAGCTTCCCTGTTTTTCAAACGTAAAGAAAATTAGACCTTTTCCAGTTCATTCTGAAATGAAAATGACAGTATAAGTAATAACCTTTTAAACTGGTAGACAGCAAACTATGATATGATACTGCACTGAAAACTAAAATATAATCATGAAGTTAGGATACCAGAATTCTCTGGGAATAGTTTTATAAATGTAAAAATAAATGTATTAATAGGACTTTATCCTTACTGGAAAATAACTAAACTTCTGAACATCTATTTTTCTATTACAAAAAAGAGTAAAATAAAATATTGCTCCTACTTAAAGGATAAATTGAATTATATATTATACCTTTCAATATAAACTGTAAGACCTGGCATAATCTTAGGGAAGAAAGTTTCAAATTTTAATTTATGAATCAAAAGAGCAACAAATGACAATAGAAAAATTTAATACTTAAATGTTTCTATTTTTCAACTTACAGAGTTTCGATAACAAATGTAAAATATATACATGTTTCTATCATGGTATGTGCAACTATCAGAGAGCAATAAAAATAAAATTTGATTGTATTTCTAGTACTTGGTGCTTGTACACCTGGACCACTTCACTGATTTATATTAGCTTCCAAACCTCTTAGGATTTCTGTTACTGACCCCTGTTGATTCCATGAACACATGGTACAATCATTCCTACTACATTACTACAGCGAGGCAGAGGATTAATGTCTGATCTTTTCTATCTTCCACAAAACATCGTACAATGGCAGCCACCAAGTAGTCGCTCACTGGATGAATACTAAATAATTCACTTTAAAGAACCACTGCCTGACCTAAAGAGTAGATTAACTCTTTAAAGCTTGAGCTATTTTAGAACCAACACAAATATTACAGAAATTTACAGCTGAGATGCTTCAATTACATAAAAATGTTTCCTATAAGTGTTTCTTCAGCAAGTCTTTGTGTAAATACACTGCATTTCTTTATACGCACTAATAAAATAAACCTGCAAGTTTTTATCCACAAGCATTATCTCAAAATACCAAAAATGTTAAAAAAAAAAAAGAAAAGGTGGTAAACAGAGCACTAAATAATAACTTCCTCCTAGTGTATGCAAAAATGTATAGGTACTTCACTGAACAGATCTTCAGGATGAAAACTAATTAATCTTTATTTTTAGCAAAGCTAGAAACAAAACCAGTTTAAGCAAATTTATGTTTTTAAACTACAGAGTAAAAACAAATCCTCTTTTATCAAATTAAATATTTAGAAGTAAAATATGCATTTCAAAATAACAAAATAAGAAGTTGAATAGAGAAAATGTCAATCAAATCAGTTATATAAACAGTAATTTCTATATGGAAAAAAGTAATTTTTTGAAATACAGATGCTTAGAGAACTCTCCAAAAAATTCAATCTTCTCATATGTCTCTATATGTAATTAAGAATGTGAAAAATGGTAACACCATCTACATTGCTAGATCTAACTATAAAAGGAAATCACAAGAAACAGAATGGAAGAAATGGATAAATGTACAACATACAAACATTATTTTTGTTCTGAGTACATTTCAGATATATGTATTTAATTATGACAACTGAAACAAAATCCTACCTGAAACAATTTTTCCTTTTGGCCCATGCCACTGGAATGATGGGTCTACCAGCTCAGAATTTCGCAGTCGTTGGGTTACACATAACACGTGTGGACTCTTTTGATGAACCATGACATATACTTTCACTGAAAATACAATATTAAAATGTTCCAATAATATTTTATGTTTTTTCTTTCTCTATAATGCCTCATATTTTTGTAGTTTGGGTTATGTGCTTTTATAGGATTTCTTTGGATTATTGATCTTATTTGTTGATAAGAACTAAATTTCACTGCATTCTGTGAACTAACATTAAAAAAATACAACATCTTTTGAGTGTGTATATGTGTGTGCATGTGTCTGAGTGTGTATGAGTGTGTGTATCCTCAACCTGAGCATAATGTGTTGGTCCTTTTCATTCAGATATCATGTACACAATCTATTTTATTCTCAGAATATTATTTCAATTACAAAGTATTAAGATAATTCTATATTTAGACTTTATCTGTTTTATAAAGACACCACGTCTGAATAGAACTTATAAATTGTTTAGATTAGAAGAACAATACATTATCCACAGCTACATTGCACAATGTACTGAATAAAAAATAATAATGTGATTAAAAAGTAAACAAATATGTTCTTTGATTTTAAATATTAAGAATTTTGTTCCACTTTGCTTTAAAATTAAAGAATCTTAATATTAAGAAAAAATAGTATTCTTTAGAAGATACACAAAGAACACAGTAAACATTCAATTATTTTGAGTCTACTCATAAGCAAGCTTTTAGAAAAGGTTCCAACAACCCTTCAGAAATTGCATATCAACTCTTCACTGATGCACCATATACAAAGATTTTTATAATCCAGTAAAATAAAACTTGTTTTTGAGAATCAAAATTCTCATTAACTTTAAAGAGTCTTTAAAAGTGTCACCATAAAACATGATGTTTATTAAATATACTTTTAGATATACATCCTTCCACAGGTTAAGAAAGTTCCCCTCTATTCTTGGTTATTTGTTTATATCATAAATTGGTATTGAATGTTAATGAATGTTTTTTCTATATTGATTGAGGTGATCATGTCTTTTTCTTCTTGAATTTTTAAAAATTTTAACCTTTACTGGTACATATTTGTGGGGTACAGTGTTTTGTTTCAATATATGCATATATTGCACAATGATTCACTTAGGGTAGACAGCATACTTTTGTACCCGTTTGCTTGACATTGATAGATTGACTTCCTGGAATAAATCTAATTGGTCATGCTTTTTTATTTAAACATTGTTGGATTCAATTTGCAAATATTTTCTTAGCATCCTTGCAACTATGTTCATAAATGTAACTACATATAATTTTCTTATACTATTCTTTGTCCTTTTCAATTTTAGTATCAAGCACTTATTATTAAGCATTTATTTAGTATTTATTATTGTTAAGGTAGATACCTAAGGTTATAACGGCCACATGAAATGAATTGAGTATATTTTCTTCTATAAATTTTCTCTGAAAGAATAAATAGTTTTCCTCCCGCTTGGAAAACTGTGTGGCCTGGTATTTTTTATTTTTCCCACAAGAAGGGAGAGAATAGTAAAACAAATTTTTTACTACCAATGAAGTGAATTTAATTGGTTACTCATCTACTGAGTAATTTAATCAAGTCTATTTTAGAAATCTGTATTTTACTAGAGAGTTATTCATTTCACATTCATTAGCATAAAACTGATCAGAACATTAAGGTTTTTTAAAAATTTCACCATATCTTTAGTCATAACACTTTTTGTACTTTTACTTATTCTCTCATGAAAAAGTGTGCCAAAACTTTGTCTTTTAATTGTTCCAAATGTCTTTTGTTTCCATTCAACCTCTCTATTTTTCTTTTGTGGTCTCTTTCATTAATTTCTGCTCTTTTTCTTATTTCTATCCTATTTTCCTCAGTTTAAATTTGTCTTCTTTTTTCTAACTTCTTTAATAAACGCTTACCTTTTAAATTTTCACTCCTCAGAATGACTTACTGGCCGTCCTCTCCATAATCTGTCTGGACCACATATATCTCACTACACCTCTTTCCACACCCTCTGCCCTAACCATGCCAAAGCAGCACACAGCTTCACTGCTTTGTGATTGTACTCATGTAAGTACCTAAGTGCTTCCTCATCTTTGGAAATTCAGCACAAGCATACCCTTTCTGCTTTCACTTGACAGTACCCTGGGCCATTACCATGCCCTTCCTCTATACCCACTAATCCCTGTACATATTTCAATCACAGCAAACATAAGTGAAACCAGAAGTTTCCCTAGGCAAGATAAACATACAAAAATAAATAATATTCCTCTACATCAACAATAATGCATTAAACCATATTAGAAGTTATCATTTAGAGAACAATAAACAGAAGTTAATCTATAATTAAACAAGACCTTTGTGAGTAACATTTTAAGACACTAGCCAAAGATATAAAATGAGACCACAATGCCATAATCATAAGTGTACACATAATTTTAAAGATGCCAATTTATCCCCCTATTTATGTATATTATAAACATAGTTGTAAGCAAAATCCCAGAAGAATTTTATTTTTTAAGGAATTCTTGAACAATGATTCTAAAATGTATTTGGAAGATTAAAGCTTCAAAAATAGCTAAAATAATGCTATTAAAAAAAAGAAAGAGGACTAGCAATAAAAGTTACTGAGATATATTACAAACTTACACCAAATAAAACAGAATGTCTGGTGTACAAACAATGGTGGGTCAGGGTAAAAAGGAAAAATAATTGACATATAATAGAAGTGGCACCTTAAATCACTGGAGAAAATATATATTACTAATAAATTATGGTTAAAAATTATCTTTATATGCAAAGTGAAACTTAGATTTATACCTCATATCGTACACAAAAATAAATTCCAGGTAGACTAAAGACCTGAAGGTAAATCATTATTTTAAAAAATTGTAAAGTGATACCTTAGGTTACAGAAAAATTCTTTTAATGCAGAAAGCACAAACATAAAAATACTTAACTCCTTAAATATTAACAATTTCTATTCAATCCTATACAACATAGGCAAAGTTAACAGATTTGACAGGGAGATGATATTTGCAACAAAGATAATCAATTATGGATTTATAACTGATATATAAATAAATAACTCTTTTGAAAACAGCAAGGAAAAGGATGGGCAGAGACAACTTAACGTTTGGCTTAGGAAAACTGGAAAAGGTAAAATTTCATGCTGGCCAGGATGTGGGAAAACGGGACCCCTCAAGCACTACTGGAGGAAGTTTGAATTGGTGGAGCCATTTTGAAGAGCAATTTTAGTGAGATTGAGAATGCTCAGCTCCTATGATGCTAAACTTCTACTCCTGTATATAACAAACCCTAAAAATTCTTAAACAGGTACAAAAAGAGATATACAAAATGGTATTAATCACACAAACCAAAAAAAAAAAAAAAAGAATTCAAAGTACAACAAAAATGTAATGTAGATAAATGCTCCCTGAATGAATTAATACATGAGTGAATGAAAATAAACTAATAAATAAAAGATGAATAAGTTAAAGAGAGGATCACAGAAACTAAAAATAAAACAATAAAACATAGACAGATGCTGAGATCACGCATGGCAGAAAAAACTGAAAAAATTCCAGGCACAAAAAATCAGGCAGTCAGTACATTATGGAGCCACAACTAGTAAAATTTCATATATAATAATCCACTTTGTGATATAATTAGTATCTGCAGAATTGAAATGTTAGTCCATCTTAAGAATAAGTTTAATATTATCCAATAAAAGAAACAAATTAGTTACAGATAACTAATTTGAAGTTAGTTACAGATAACTAAAGAGAAATTAGTTACAGATAACTATTTTATAATTCAAGTTTAAAAGTTAAAGTTGGTGAAATCTATGAAAATGGCAAGGTAAGGAACTCCAAAAATTATCTCCTTCATAGAAGTAATGAGAAAAAAGCAAAAATTGTCAAGATAAATATTTTCAGAACTCTGGAAATTAATCAAAGACTTGAAGTAATCCATGAAACATATATTCAAGAAAAATAACTGAATCTTGGTATTACGGGTTGATTTTGCTCCCTGCCCCCCACCAAATCATATGTTGAAGCCCTAATCCCCAGTACCTCAGAATGTGAACTTATCTGGAAATAGTCTCAGCAGAGGAAATCAAGTTTAAATTAAGTCATTAGACTGAGTACAAATCCAACATGACTGATGTCCTTATAAAAGGGGAAAGCTGGACACACAGACAAATACAGAAGGATGAGAGTGGGAAGAAACGTAGAGAGAAGATGGCCATCTACAGGCCAAGGAAAGAGATCTGAAACAAATCCTTCCTTCATAGCCTTCAGAAGTAACCAACTCTGCTTACACCTTGATTTTAGACTTCTGGCCTCCAAAACTTAAGACAACACATTTTTGTTGTTAAAGCCTCCCTACGGTGCTTTATTACAGCATACCAAGCAACCTGATACACTCGGTAAGAACAGTGAACTTGTAGCAGTTTAACTTGCTCTATCCCCATCCTTCTTCCCCCATCCCACACCCTCTGGTTTTCCAGTAGTCTTCAAAATCAACAGTCTGCAATCACAGTGAGAACCATCAGCCAGGTGGCCACTGGAGGAAACAGGCAGGGTTAGAGTGCTTTCAAAGACTCATTCCTGAAGAATTATCATTATTTGATCTGTCTGGCAGTGTCCTGGAAGATCCCTCTGGGAAGGCTGTCTTTACTTGACCTGACCTTGAGTGTACCTATGACAAAATGCCTTTTCCCCATGGTATATGTCAAAAACAAATAAAGGCCATCGTTTAACTTTGTGACTACCTGATATAGCTGGTAACAGCTGAGGAACACAATAGGCTAACCCAAAAGTTGGGGAAAACAATAAGCTAACCCAAAACAATGGGCTAACCCACAAAGAATGACATGTCCTCAGGAACTGTGAAAAGCTCTGACACATTCCTGGGAAAAAAGAATGCCACATGCATGTATAGGGCTGTGTGCATGCCCAGGACTGTGTGCATGCTCAGTAAAGACCAAGAGAACTTAAGTTCTTACTTATGGCTGAAAATTAAGGATCTGCTCAGCATAAAGTAAATGGCAGTATAGAGTTGTCAACTGCCTAGCTAAAAATTAAAGGTATGCCACAACAGGCATAATGAGAATCTCAGCAAAGACTAGGAGATTAACGGTATCCAGGTACTTAATGAAATCTCTGTCCAATCATTACCCTAACTAAGCTAATTAAGCAGAATCTTCAGTGGCTGTGTGTGAAAAAAATACATAATTTACAGAATTAGTTCAGAAGAGTCACTAAACAAATAAACATCAGCAAACAGCAACAACATGATACCCTGAGGATGGGGAGAAATTTACTTGCAGACTTTCTATGTTATATTATTTTAAATGTTCAGTTTTCAACTAAGAATATGAGACATGCAGAAAACCAAGAAACTATGACCATATGCATGAGAAAAAAAAAAAAGCCAACTGAAACTGACCCCAATAAAGACCAAATGTTGGACTTAGACTTACTGGACAAAGACTTTAAATTAGCTATTTTACATGTGATCAAAGAAAACTATGTCTAAAGTACTAAAGAAAAGAAAAGCATGAGAATGATTTCTCTCAAAATAGAGAATATAAGTAAAAATATAGAAATTATAAGAAGAACCAAAAAAAAATGCTGGATTAAAAAGTACAATAGCTGAAATGAAAAATTTACTAGAAGGAATCAATAGCAGACTGAGCAGGCAGAAGAATCAGCAAACTTTAAGGTAGGTAAATTTACAATTATCCAGTCTGAGAAATAGAAAAAAAAAAAAGAAGTATAAATGACTCAGAGACCTGTGGGAAACCATCATGCATACCAACATATGCATGACAATCCCAGGAAAAGTGAAAAGAAAGGAGCAGAAAAGATATTTGGTGAAATAATGGCAAAACTACCCAAATTTGATGAAAAACATGAATCTGTACATCCAAGAAGCTCAATGAGCTCCAATTTGGATAAACTCAAAGTGATCCACACCCAGACACATCATAATCAAACTGTCAAAATCCATAAACAAAGAGAGAATCCTGAAAGCGGCAAGAGAGAAGCAACTCACCATACACATGATCCTCAATTAATAGCTTATTTCTCATGAGAAATTATAATAAAATAGAAAGTCTAAATAGGTCTAAACGAAATAGTGATTAAATTAGTAATCAAAAAATTTCCACGAAGAGAAGTCCAGCACCAGATGGCTTCACCAGGGAATTTAACCAAAGTAGAATTAACAAAAATCCTTCACAAACTCTTGCAAAAAATAGAAGAGGAGGAAACATCCTATGAAGCTAGTATTACCCTAAAATCAGAATCTGACATCACAAGAACATTACAGACCAATTTCCCTTATGAATATATACCTAAAAATCCTAAAAATACCAGCAACCAAATCCAGCAGCATAACAAAGGGTTATATAAATCTAACGAGACTTATTCCAGAAATGCAAGTCTAGTTCAAAATATGAAAATCAATCAATGTAATGCATCACAGTAAATAGAATAAAAGATAAAAACCAAATGATCATCTCCATAGATGTAGAAAAAGTATTTGACAAAATCTAACCCTCTTCACGATAATAAAAGCACTCGACAAACTACGTACAAAAGGGAACTTTCTCAACCTGATAAAGGGCATCTACAAAAAGCTCTCGGCTAACATTGTACTTAATGGTGAAAACTGAAACCTTCACCTTCCCCTAAGATTAGGAATAACACAAGGATATCTGCTATCATCAATATTGACCTGGAGGTTCTATCTGGAGTAACTGGCAAAAACAAAACAGAACAAAAAAAGGCATTCAGACTGAAAAGAAATGAAATTATCACTATTTGCAGAAAATCCAAAGGAATTTCTCCCCCAAAATAGAGCAAATAAATGAGTTAAGCAAGGTGGCAGGTTACAATATTAATATGAAGGCATCAATTGTATTTCTATACACTAGCACCGAGCAATCCAAAAACTAAATAAATAAAGCCATTCCATTTAAAATAGCATCAAAAATAATAAAACATTTAGGAACAAATTTAAGAAAAGAAATGTAAGAGTTGTACAATAAAAACTACAAAACATAACCGAGAAAAACTAAAGAAGATCTAAATAAATGGAGTTCATGGATTGGAAGTTCAAGTTCATGGACTGGAAGACTTAATATTGTTAAGGTGCTAATACTCCTGAAATCGATCTAGATTCAATGTCATCCCTATTAATATCCCTATGGACTTTTTTTGCAGGAATTGACAAGCTGAATTAATGTGGAATTGCATGGGACCCAGAGTAGTCAAAATCATTTTGAAAAGAACAAGTTTGAAGGATTCACACTTAATAATTTCAACACTTACTATCAAGCAACATTAATCAACAAAGCAAGGTACTTACGTAAGGATAAACTTATAGATCAATGGAATAAAATTTACATTTAAAAAATAAACACATACATCTGTGGCCAATTCCTTTTCAATAACAGTGCCAAGTCAACTTAATAGAGAAAGAATATTCTCTTCAACAAATGATGCCAGAAAAACTGGATATCCACATGCTAAAGACTGAGTGTGACTCCTTCCTTGCAACCATATGCAAAAATTAACTCAAAATAGATCAAAGGCCTAAATGTAAGAGACAAAACTAAGACACTCAACAGAAAACATAGTAGTAAAATTCTGTGACACTTGATTAGGCAATAGTTTCTTAGATATGACACCTAAAGCAATATTACGAAAAAAAAATAGAAATTAGACTTTATCAACATTTAAAACACATATGCTTCAAAGAACACATTAAGAAAGTGAAAACACAATCTACAGAATGGAAAAAAATATTTGCAAATCATACACCTGATAAGGGTCTAGTAGCCAGACTATATAAAGGACTCTACAATTCAACAAAAAGACAATCAGCCCAATTTTAAAATGAGCAAAGAACCTGAGTAGGCATTTCAGCAAAAGACATACCCATCTGGCCACAAAACACATGAAAAGAGGTAGAACATCATGAGCTCTTGGGGAAATGTAAATCAAAACCACAATGAGATACCACCTCACATACACTAGGATGGCTATAATAAAAAAGACAGATGATAACAAGTGTTGGCGAGGATGTTGGTATATCTGAACCTTCATACATTGCTGGTGTAAAAGTAAAATAGTTCAGGCTGTTTGAAAAACAGCCTAGCAATTCCTCAAAATATTAAATATAAAGTTATCGTATGTCCCAGCAATTCCAACCCAAGAAGGGAAAACATATGTTCACATTCAATGGACTATCATTCACCCATAAAAAATAAAGTACTGATACATTCTACAACATGGGTGAACCTTAAAAACATTACACTAAGTTAAAGATGACAGAAACAAAGGGACACAAGAGTGTATGAGATTCCACATATAGGAAATGTCCAGAATAGGAAACTACACACACAGAAAGTAGATTAGCGGTTTCTAAGGCTGGAGAGTGCATAATGCATATGGTGTTTCTTTGGGGGCTGATAAAAATATTGTGAAATTAGAGAAAACAAATTGTATACTTACGAAGAATTTTATGGCATGTGAATGTACCTCAATAAAAAAAAATGCAAAAATATTGTAGTTTCTATGCCTCATATCAGTGCAAAATCTTATGAATCCAAAATCTTTACAAGAACATCTCATTTGAAAAAAGTTTTAGCATATTTGAATGGCATACATTTAACATTATAGCTAATTATCATCTAATAAGAAAAAAACATGATAGGCAACTTTAGACAATTTTTAGAAATAATTATTCTTTGTATACATAAGCAAGTATAGCAGACAGAATTAGACCTGAATGAATCTAACAATATGGAAACAACATTAATCCATTTCTGTAAAAGGAAAAGGGTCTTAGGAGACTAGGCTAACTGGGAAATATTAGCCTTTTGGACAAGACTGATAAAATTTAAATAAATGCTAATAAGTTTCTTAAAATTACTAAAAATCTACCTATGAATACCTGGAAAGCCAGTTGATCCTACTATTTTCAAAGAATCTCGGGTCAAGTGAAAACCTCTTGGTAATCGAACCAAATATCCAACTATCAAAAACAAAAAGGAAAAAAACGATCAACAATTTGCCTCATTAGAAATTCCAAAATAGTCAAGTCGTATAGAATCACAGTATATCTGATTTTGTTTGAAGAGGAGAGCCATAAATCAATCTCCTCTGATATCTGATATCTCTGTTCCAACTCTACCCCCCTTCATATGTTCTCGTGAAATTAATCTACCTACTGCTTCTCCCTATTACATCTCACCTCCGGCTTTTTCTGCATCCACTTAGTACACTCTTCGTTTGTAAAAGTCCAAATCTCCCACCACTCAAGAACCAAATCACAAGTTCTTCCTTCTTCAAACCACCTGTTTGTCTTTATTTCTCTGTCATAGTACATCACTAACACTTCTCTAATAACACTCATTCTACATTGTATTATAGTGCTTTATGCATGTTTATCACTTTATTTGATTATAAGCTCCATTGATAGGAGAATCAGTGTTAATGTTGACTTATCAGGAGTAAGTAACGAGCACTACAACTTACACATAGCAAATATTAAATAATAGTTGTGAAATATATTCTGTTAGTCTTCATTCATTGTTGAATGAGCAAATGTGATTGGCATAATAGTATGAACAGAACAAGTGGGAGGGGTAGTACAAAAATACAATAAAGCATTAGACCCAAATAACTTTTAACAGAGACAGAGTAAAGTGCAAAGAAAAAGAATACGATATCCAAAGCCAAAAGACCCGAGTTTAAATCCTGATTCTGCTGGAATGGAACTTTCTCCCCCCATCCCATGCCTACCTCCACATCCCTTCTACATTTACATTCTTAGAGGACATCTTTTTTTCATTCTCCCTCATTTGAACATTTGTTAGCATTTAAAACAAATCTCTTTTGTGCTTTTCACCAATTCTGGGAGAGATTTCATTTTTTAAAAGTCCACAACTTGAACACAAAATAATGTAGCCAAAATCTCTCTAAACAACAGTTCAACTAAACTCTCCCTTCTTTTTTCAGTGTCAGTTAATCAGTATCTTAAATGTATTTTGAAAACAGTATGGAAAAGTATTTCAGTTCTTTAGATGTCAAGTCTTGAAAACCCCAATACTTCCTGCATTTTACAGCGAAAATCAGTAGATGGAGCTCCATCATCGGGGATAATTCCAAAGCAGCAGAATGCCTACTCATCTTGAAATGCATTCAAAGAGGGAGCACACAGTACATCATTACAGAGTTCACGCACTGAGATGTAAAGTTGCCAATGAGCCACGGACTGAATCAGGGAGTTTATTAACAAGGCAGTGTCACTTTAAAACTTGGACTGCGGATGTTTTACTTATCTATCCATACATTATTAATTTCCCCACTCATTCGCTCCCCTATGCAAATGTACGAATTCTTTACAAAATAAACCTTTATTGTCAGGTGTCAGTGAATACAGTATTTCTTTATACAAACAGGACTTCCTGCGCACATGACCCAGGAAAACGCAGCTCTCGGGGGAGGGAATCGCGGTTACCCCGGAGCCCTCCGGCTGGGCCGCGCCGCCCCTCACCTGACGGGGGCGCCCGCGCAAGGAAGGCGGAGAGAAGGAGGAGGACGACGGCCGGGGACAGCAGGGAACCCGCAGCCCGGGCCCGCCGCCAGCCCCGCCCCGCCCGGCCCCGGGGCCCGGCCGCCCCCCCCCCGCCCCC